AAAGGAAACTTTAGCTTTTTTTTAAAGAAATGGGAGAAAATTGTGGTAACAATGATTTTTTGTATTCACATAAGGTAAAGCTAAAGGTTCCCCTCGCACATATGTGCTAGTCATTCCCAACTCTAGGGGGCGGTGCTGATCTCCATTTTAAACCCGAAGAGCCAGCGCTGTCCGAAAATGTCTCCGTGGTCATGTGGCCGGCATGACTAAATTCCAAAGGCATTTATGAATGCTGTTACCTTCCCAACAAAGGTGGTCCCTATTTTTCTACTTGCATTTTTTACGTGCTTTCGAACTGCTAGGTTGGCAGAAGCTGGGACAAGTAACGGGAGCTCACCCTTTACGCAGCACTAGGGATTCGAACCGCTGAACTGCCGACCTTTCAATCAACAAGCTCAGCATCTGAGCCACTGAGCCACCACGTCCCTCTTGTATTTACATACAAGAATACAAATAAAAACTATCCACTTCCAAGGAATTCTGATATCTGACATCCCATGTTATCGTGGTAAACCTGATTAACTACGTACTGCAATCCATGACTGAATGGGAATCTGGAGACAAGCCAGTACAGACTTTAGTTTTCATTGGCAGATTATACAAAAATCATTCAATAAACCATGTACACTGCTCAAAAAAATAAAGGGAACACAAGCAGAAGACATCCAAGATCTGAATGAATGAAATAGCCTTATTAAATACTTTGTTCGTTACATACAGTAGTTTTGTGTTCCCTTTAGTTGTTTGAGCAGTGTATAAACTACTGTATGTAACGAACTCGGATGTCTTCTGCTTGTGTTCCCTTTATTTTTTTGAGCAGTATATATTTTAACAATATATTTAACAAACATAGATAACTAAACATGGCTTAATGCAGTGGTGAAATCTTCCCTGGTTTGCCACCGGTTCACTGCCCACGCATGCACAGTATACACCAAATGCATGCTGTGCGTGTGCATGTGCAGTGCACACCAAATGCACGCTGTGCGAGCATGCACAGTACACACCAAATGCATGCTTTGCGCGGAAAAAGGAAGCTTGGAAAGGTAAGTAGAACAGCAGGGGGGTGAACAGCTGTGCCACACGATTTAGATTCACTAAATCTAAATTTCCTGCTTTCTAGCGATTTTAAATCATCGATAGCTTTTTTTCACTACTGGTTCACCCGAACTGGTGCGAACTGGTAGCATTTCACCGCTAGCTTAGTGGGACATGAGCCTCACATCAGAAGTGCTTTTAGTTAGATTTATCTATAAATTTGATATAAATTTTATATCCTACATTTTTAAAACAATTGTTTTTTATAATGAATTCTTTACAGATTTAAAAACTGCTGCAATTCAGAATCAGGCACAACAATATTCAACAGCATTTTTAAAATAACTAATTCCTCCAATATAAACCTTTCTTAGAAATTTAATTTACCTTGAAAATTCTTGGGACCTTTCAAGTATTTTGTGTGATAGATTGCATGAGAGCTCAGAAACATCAAAAGCTTTTATGAAAAATTGTTGAAATCTTGTCAAATCTTGTACTTACCAAAAAAAAATTGAATTTTGAAGTTTTCAGTATTTTAATATTACAAGGTTTGTGTCACCACCAGAGAAGAGTACTAGCCATTGCTATATTTGATTAATTTGAATTATATATATATATATATTTCAAAATTTATACACATATACACATTTATATACACATTTAAATATTCAATAATTCAGAATTTAGTTTTGAAGTTTAATTTATTTTTTTTACTTTAATATCTTAATATTAGCAATCTTAAACTGCTAGCGACACTTGCAGATGAAGCTCAAAATTTTCTGTTCATTTCATAGAATTTTTTAAATTTTATCATTGGATATTTTTTTACTTAGTTTAGCTAATAGCCCTCAAATTCATTAAGTTTGAAAATAAACTTTGACGATAATTTGGAAACATAATTCACAGCTAACTTAGAATTATTGGGCTCAATCTTTGAAAGTAATAAGGAAAATTATTTTATTTTGAAATAGTCTTCTGATAACTTGCTCCTTTTTAAAAATTATTTGAAGTTTTTATAATATTTACCATATTTGTGATGCTTATCTTGTTTGGCAACATTACCTTAAAGTAAAGCTCTGTTCCACTGATTTTTATTTAGAACAAAACATTTTTGGGAGGCATGACCATTTTTGACATTAGTGCTGGAACAGTTGGTAAAACTTTTGAAGCTAAAAAGCTAAAAAGGATCTTCCTCAATTTAGATTCAGTACGTTCCATAAATCTACTTGGATCACAGTTGTAGTTTTCTATAGGAGAAGGAGTGGCAAAACCTAGGAGTGGAATTAGAAGAGGAATAAGTATAGAATCCTACATAGCCATAAGCAGACTAACCTCCCCTTGATTTCTTTTGTCCTTATCTAATCCAAGCAGGCCCTAACCATTAGTTGAGAAGATTCCTGTACATAGCCTGTGTAGCAATAAATCAGTTTAATTTGATCTTCACATGTGGACCTGGTCTTTTGTGCCTGACATTTTCTGACACCATGTTGCAATCACTTGACATCTCACGCAGTTTGTCATCTAGAGAAGTATTCACCTTGCCTGCCCATAAGGCCAAGACAACTGACAGATCAAGATTGTGCCGTCTTGTCAGCTGAAATAAAAATGGATCTATGATATGAATTCCAAAATAGTGAAGATTTTTGTCTGTAGAAATAACATGAGTTATTTCTCAAAATAACCCCAACTTTACTGTCATTGTATAATACTTTACATTCTTCAAGCTGATGATAAAATAAGAATATAGATACTAAATAATGAAATACTAAAAGCAAAATAAGAAAATAAGAAAAAACATAAAAGCATCATTAACACTTTCAATAGCACATTTTTGGAAATAAAATGAATTTTGATATAGAAGAGTTCAGCAGCTATTAGTAGCAATACACTTTAAAGGAAAATGCTGTTGTATTGTATTGTACAATGTCTATTTCGGTTACCAGGAAAGCTTCACAGTGGTAGTGAACAGGCCTTTGGGGAGAAATTGTTGGCATTCTTTGGGCAATCAGCACATTTTAAGGAAGAAGGAAGGCATAGTATAGATTTATTTCTGTACCTTGATGGAAGTCTGATATTTAATTTATGCTGTGTACTTTTTCATTAGGCATACGATACCTGCAATCCCAAAGCATCTGTCAATATTTATACTTAAAATGGCTAAGTTGGTAATGATTATAAAAATAAAAACTGGATAATGTGGAGAATGAAATGGGAAGACTCTGTCTAATGTAAATAGGAGCAGAGAATTATTTCAAATTAGGTTGATAATTTGTTCTTTTTTATTCCCTTGCTGATTTGCTTGCCTATCTTCCTTCCAAAATTAGAGAATTACAGACAGAAAGGGTTCTTCGCTTATTTTATTATGTACATGCTCAGAGGTCAAAACCACTTAAATTCCTATATATTTATTATGGTTTAACATTTTATTAATACTCAAATTAGCTACCTAATTTTAATTGCATCCTCCCCAAGTGCTCTATGTTTCACTTGCCAGTTGTACCTCTATAAATAAACAACATAACAGAATAATTACAAACACTATAAATCAAGTTTTTCCTATGCTATATTATCATGGATCAAATAAAACTCAATGATTTCTTTTACCATGTTTTTGTATGTCTCATATTAAATATCAATCATGATTTATTAATCATGATTAAATATATATAGATAGTCAATGCTTAATGACTGTTTGATACCATGGCAGCCACATCCCCCCCCTTTTTTTTCCTGGCAGTCACATGATCACAGTTTGGATACTTTGCAATTGGCTCTTGTTTATAACCATTTCCAGCATCCTGCGGTCACTTGTCTACAATTCTTAGCGGTTTTTGTCTATTTTTGGCATTTACTTCTAGTTTCTGGCAAAAAACACCAAAAAACAGACTTGGTTAACAGCCACAACTCTTCACTTAATAAAACCACTGCAAAAAAGGCTGTAAAATTGGGCCCAGTGGCAATTTATGACTATAATTCTTGGATCAATTCTGGTCATCAGTTGAGAACTACCTATAATTTAAAGTAAATGTTCTGCACAGTTTTCTTCATCCTACCAGCTGTAAATACCTGGATTATGTTTAGACCATAGTTTCCTCCAAACCTCTACGATGTATTCAAAAAGTAATTTTGCTGTGTACATTTTACTGTGTAACTTCTCATTAAAATTAATAGGCAGTTACATAATTTCAGTGGGATTTTGTTGGGTAAAAATAATTCACCACAGCACAGTAAAGCTAATCACATAAAGAAAATAATGTGGTTACCAAGTAATTATTTGAGAATATAGGAAGATTGTATGCATTACTTTTTAATTTCACTTGAAGTGTATAATATAAGCAGTTTCAAACTTGCGTAAACCAAGTAACCTATTTCTTTTTCTTGGTGTGACTAAATTGTAAATTGCAGATAAAGCTATTAATGTTAGAAAATAAATTAAGACATTTATACATGGCAAATTGGAAGAAACCTTCTATACCCTTACAGGAGTGCCTAAAAAGTTCTTCGGAGTTCTTCGGACTGTAAATAATATGGACAGATATTATCGTAGCTGAACAGTTCCATGTCTGTAAGCAGAGAATGTGTTTGACGTGGCAACTTGTTTTGGAATTATTTTTTAATGTGTTCTTGTTTTGCTTTCTTAGGTCAAGTTATGTCATATTCTGTAACCTGTGTATGAATTAAATGCTTTCTAAGATAAAAGTTTTATTGTGAAATGTGCAAGAACCTGACTCAAGTTCAAAGTACCAGATTAAAAATAAAACCAAAATTTTTCAGTCTGGACATAGTCAAGTTTCTGAAGTATCTAAAAATAAAAATGGAGTGTTTTAAATCTAATGGTTTTGATTAGAAAGTCTGATAGTGTTTTAAGTTATGTTTCTTTTTTAAATGTGACAAATGTTGTTCATGATATAATTTGCAGAAAAATGTTATTGAAGAGTTAAGTGCTACAACATTTTTTCAGGACTCACACTATATTTGATATTTTGTGACTAAGTGAGGCAAGTAGCTCCTTTTTTATTCAGAATTGATAGCTTTGATTTTCAATGTTTAGGTTTTCCTGTTAGAAGACAAAAAATAAAAATGTGCTAAATAGTATATAACCGTTTTTAGTTCTTTGTGCCTATTCCCTGTACAAAATCAAACAGTTTATATTTTAATAAGCATTTCATCTGAACAATTCAATATGGCAAATACAGTATCAATGAAACTTTTTAGCATTAAGCACAATTAGTAAGTTAAGTAGAATAACTGGCTCAGTGAGCTCCATAGCTAAGTGGGGATTTAAGTTTAGATCTTCCTAATCCACATCCAGCACATAAAAATACGTACAAGTTTCAGTATTCCTATCAAAAATGTGTCTACAAATATTTTTATATCAATATGAGGTGTTAAAAAGATGAACCAATTGAGAGTGAAGAGGAACAAATATTTAAAGGTATTGATTCTTAACAACCCCACTGATGTACAAATATAATGGCAAATATAGTTGTGCCTCACATTTCAAAAGGAGGTTCATGCAATAATTTTGGAAAACTATATTTCTGTCTCCTTTCCTTATTGCTGTATCAGTTAACTTTCTGGTATTTTTCACTGTGAACATCATTTTAGTTGTTCACTATCTATCAACAATTCACCTTATAATCCATTTAAATCTATCTAGCCCTTGGTTTGTTCTCTTCATTGTACCTGTGTGCTGATGAACAGCGAACACTTTAAATTAAGTTTATACCATTTTATTTCAGCAAAATACTGAAAAAGGCAGCGAGAGGCATAATTTGTTACAACTTGTAGGCTGTCTGTGACCCATCAGCGTGGGCTCTGTTACATAATAGAGAACAGAGGTTTCAAAGAAAAGGAATACTGGCTGAGAACATGTTCAAAGGGAGCTGAAAGGAATACTGTACAGGAAATTAAATCATTGGCCAAGGAAGTAGAATTGGACTGATTGCAGTCATTAATGTCCTTTTAACGAGAGCCACATAAGGAATGTAACTCAGCAACTGTGATGGTCCCTAGTGTGGAGCCAATTAAGTAACGTAGATGTGGTATTTCAAACACACAAGAGTAGAGTGGGTAGATTATGTATCAGGAATAACACATCTGAGAATCGGGGGATTTGTCCTGTGAGCAAAATTTACAAGGAGAAAGCGAATGTACAGGAGAAATGCAGATTCATACATTTAATGTATTAATTTACTGTGCTCTGTGTATATTACTCCTCTTTTCCTTACATTCTATTCCCTCCTCATGTTAAATACAGATTAACTACAACTTTTTTGTGCTTACCTTTTTAAATAATTTTTTCTTTGCTTTAAAAAAATCATTTTATTTAAATTGCTTAAAAACACTACACCCCCTTCCTCAAATACTTACATTAGTTTGTGAATTAAATTTTCTTATGGCAAGTTTGGATATTTTTCTGTTTTTAAAAATACTTCTCTTATATTAACATTTAAATGTATTTTTTGAAAACATAGATGTATTTTAATAATACTTCCAATATGATCTTTTGCTGTCTTTAAAGTATCCATTACATTGGTAAAATCTTTTAGGAGTTGCCTCTGCATTTCTAAAAATATTTGAAGTACAGAAGTTCTAAATTTAGGATGGTAAATTCAGCCAGGTTTGGTTTTGTGCCTCACTATATGTCAGAATATTGCAGTATTTTTTTTCCTTTCAAACTTGGTAGAAATAAACAGGTTTTTAGAGATCTTCGTGAGGAAATCACAGTGCACCTTAAATCTGTTTTTTGTTTTCTCTCTCTTCCTGTTTACTTGCAGGTAGACAAGGGAGGTGATAAAATAAGGCACAGTTGGGATCTGCTCACATGATATTGGTCCCATGATGCAAATAAATCACTGCTTTTCTGTTTAATTACATGTTCTCATTTGCAAACCCTGTTCCTTTTGTCACTTGTTCCCTACCTTATCTTCAGCACACAGCTATTTTGCTGCCTTTGTTGATTATGCTCCATCTCTTTTTGTCTTCTGCCTCTAACTTCATTATTATTGCTTCTGTGAATGAACAGGAAGTACTGAATAACATCTTGGAGTGCTAACTATGCCTCTGTTAAATCTGGTATTGGATGAAATATAACCTCACATGAATGGAAATACACTCAGAACTTTTTCTTCTGATACCCAAATCTGTTTTGGAGAGCTCCCACAACTATCTGGAATAGATTTTGAAAACAGCACTGTTTTACCAATCAGGTTTTACCAATATATTTTGAAATGATTTAACCCAAATGAAGAGAAACATCATGCCCTAATTCATTATCCACCTAAATTTTTGTCTGAAATTAGTTACTATATAATAGTTTATTACCTTTCCAGTGATCAGTTATTCCATCAAACCATGTCTCCTCACTTTTCCCTTTCTAAAGACATAATTATGCTCACCACATGTACAGATAGTCCTCAATTTATCATTACAACTGAACCCAAAAGGTCTGTTGCTAAGTGAGACAGTTAAGTAAATTTTGCCCCATTGTATGACCTTTTTTTGTCACAGTTGTTAAGTGAATCTGGCTTCCCCATTGACTTTGCTTGTCAAAAAGTCAGAAAAGGTGATCACATGATCCCGGGACATTGCAACCATCCATTTTCCAAGCATCCCAAGTTTTGATTACGTAATCATAGGGAAGCTGCAATGGTTGTAAGTGTGAAAATGGTCATAAGTTAGCTTTTTTGTAGTGTTGTTGTAACTTCAAATGGTCACTAAACAAATGATTGTAAGTTGAGGACTACCTGTATTGCCTTTTCTCAAATGACTGAAAATTTGTACTAATTTTCTCCTCTTTATTCTCCATAATCACTTGGTTGAGACAGTGACAACCTAGAGTTCATTATTAGATACTGGAGAGAAGGAGTTAAAATATATTCAGCGTAGAGTTCCTGCCATTAAAAATTATTGCTTGTTGGTACATTTTTGTAACATTTCTAAATTTATCTGTGGTCTCATCTGTAGATGTTCATTCTTTAACAAAGGATGTACTCATTGAGATTCAGTTTTTCTCACCTGCTTACTAAATCTAGCTGTTATCTGATATTTCTTTTCATATTTTCTGAAATGTTTCTATCACATTTTCTAGCTCTCTTTGGATACTATCTGCTTTCCAAATTTTAGGCATGAATGCTGGGTGTTCGCTTGTTGGCTACTTTACTTTCTAATATGCTTTAAACACATCAGGTAATGCCAATGGTGGGTTTCAAAAATTTTCACTATTGGTTCGGTGGGCATGGCTAGGTGGGGGTGGCATGTGACTGAATGGGCATGGCCAACTTGACGTCATGCCCGTGCCCACTCAGTCCCATGCCTCTCCACCTAGCCACACCCAGAGGAAAAGGTAGGAAAATTTTTGGAATTTCCACCTATCTATCCCCGCCCTCCCTTCACCAGTCGCCCCCGTTTCCCCTCCTTTAGTGGCCCCGGCCCTAGCCCCACTTCCTCCCCCACCACCGCCTCTTTGTTTGGGCTGCTTACCTTCTGCGGTGGCTGGTCCACAGTCTGGAAGGCAAGCTGACCGGAGTTTTCGGCAGCCCCCAGACAGCCGCCGCAGCCAGAAAGCGACTCTCAAAGAGGCAGTGGGCAGCCAGTCACCAAAAAGTACCGGAGGTCAGGGAAAAAACTGCTGCCGTTGCCGCCATGTTCTTCGTGCATGCGCATCCCGTTGGACTTGCAAGGCAATGGAACGCACATGTGCGAAGAACATGGCGGTGACGAACATAGGCGGGGTGACCGGGAGACCAGTTCGGGGGCATGGCCAACCAGCCATTGCTACTGGTTCGGCGACCTTGGTGAAATTTCCGCCAATGCTTTGCGCGAACTGGTGCAAACCGGCTGAATATCACCTCTGGGTAATGCTAATAAAAGACAGCCACCTTCATAGTTTGTTGTCTTATTTGCCTGCTTTTCAACGCTATAACACTACAACGCTACCTGCATCGAACTATATAATTTTAGATGTTTTTAATCCCACGTTCATTATTTTTTTAAATAATTTAAGGTGGTGAACATACCTAATATTCCTTCCTCTTTCTATTTCCCCACAATAACCACCCTGTGAAGTGAGTTGAGCTGAGAAAGAATGACTGGCTCAAAGTTACTGAAATGGCATTCATAACTCACAGTCTTCTGGTGTTTAGCCTGATGCCTTAACTACTTGACCAAACTGGCTCTTCTAGACCAACTTTTGTGACAAGGACTTGACTAAGTCAGGTATAGAAATCCTAAACGTTTAAAGGTTCTGCTGCTGATGCCTCTTTCCCTGATAAATGTATAATAATGTATAATACTTGGTTTAAAGTAAGATAACTTGGTCTTAAGGGTAACTAGATTGTATGACATAAGAGGTATTTCATCTGCTCATAATGCAGGAGACTTTCTTCATTTGCATACTACTTTGCACCTTATAAGTTTATAGCTCCTGTCCTTCCCCCTATTTAAAGTTATCAGGGATAGAAAGAGAAATGGTAATACAAAGAGACTATTCATTAAATAATGCAGTCTTTCTGATGATTTTCTTGATTACATTTGCTTTATCCTCATTACTTTTTATGGTACAAAGTGATGGATATTGCTTTTTGTCATTTTCATTACTGGTAAATTTCATCCAATTGAATGACAATATTTTTTTTGAAATTCGAATTTCAAATTTTTTGTTTACACTCTTCCATAAAAAAGCAAAACAACTAGTGTTTCCTCAGATAGACAACAGAAATATTTTTAGGTATTTTGTGACACAGAACTTCATAGAACTTAGATATTCAAGATGTGTCCAGATGAAGCTTCAGAAAGCGATTCCAGTGAAGAAGGTTAGTTTAACTTCTGATTTTACAAATACTCTTTAGATATTTTTTTAAAAAAAATGGTCATGAATCTATTTTTCCTATGGTAACAGTTTACAATATATGTAAACATTTCTTAAATGAATTCTTCTAAACAGCAAGGAGAATGTTACTCTGTCTTTGGTTTTCAAACATTTAAGCGGATGCAGATGGACGTTCATTTTTTCCTCACATAATTAATTAAATACTACTGTAGATTACTATTTGGTAGGTGATAAACCGTATTTTAGTTGTGTGCCATGGTGGAGAAAAGTTCAACAGTGAAAACAACATCTTCCTTACATTCTTCATTCTGGAGAAAAGTTTTCTTTGTTATTCTAGATTAATAATTGGTAAAATCACTAAATATTTTTAAACAATTTCAGCACTCCAGTTATTATAACATTCTTAATTTTGATGCGAGAAAAAGACAATATTACAGCATAGGACAACACTAGGATATCTCTGAAATGCTCTTTGTTTCTATTTGTGTTGAATAATAAATGTTTGATGCAACTATACATAGAAATTCTTTACTTTGAAGATCTGTGTACTGTACAAGTAGAATATGTTAAGATTTTGGATTTTAATACCTATCCCCTACCTACATTTCAGTAGTTATATTTTCAATTGTTGGCTCACAACTGATTTTTAAAATATCCAATATATTAAATTCCTTATTTGGTTCAAATTTAATAATAAACCCTCTGAGGCTATAATTCAACAGCAGACTTGCATTCTTTTCTTCCCGTGTAACTTTCTACCTCTCTTCCTACAGAATTATGGTACACAATAATAACTAAACTCGCATATGTCTTTAATACAGGCGAGAAGTAGGAAGAGAGGCTTTTATGGGACCAAGCTGTGTTGAATTGTCTGGTATCTTCAACCAAGTGCTCACTAAATTCTGCTTTTATTCTTGGGTTTGCATACTGACTCACCTGTATGAGCAGAGTCTGCTTGCTTTGCACTGTGCTTGCCTAGTTCACACAGCAAGGCCATGAATGCATGATGCAACAAGGAGTCTGGTTTCCAGCTGTTTTGCCACAGAATCTGGTGCTAATTAGGGCTACAAGGGAGCAACTGGTCCAAGATCACCCAGCTGATTTCCATGCCTAAGGGAGGACTTAGAAACTTGGGTTTCATTGCTCCTAGTTTAGCATCTTAACAAATACGCCATGCTGATTCCCTTGACATCAGTAGTTCTGTTTTTCTAAAACATGCCATTTATGTAGCCTATTCTTCTTTCCAACGTATGACATTATCAAAAAGGATTCATTTTTCTGATCTCTCTGCCTTACATACTTGCACAGAAATCATTTTGAGCATTGTAAAGCTGAGTTCTGGGGGGGGAGGGATAGGTTTCTCCATTCCACTATGCATGCTTAATGATTTGCTTCCCACCATCTCCTCACTTTCTTTCAGAGATAACTTCTTCATTGCCTTCTCTCAGGAGCCATTTTCTGCAACTCTTTCAAGCTGTTTCTCATTATTTCTTAACACATTGTTTTCTGCGACTTTAGTCGTTTTGTAGAGTTCTCCAGAGTATTCCATACCTTATTCCCTAGTTGTAGAAGCCACAACAAAGAGGATGCTTCCCAAAAATCTCAGACAATTCTGGTTTATGGTAAGAGGAACAAACCATATATTTGTGAGAGGAAGGAAATAGTTATTCCATTGCAACATTTTCTCTTCAGGTTGCCAGTCATGTGAGCCTGGCGATAGGAGAACCAGGTAGAAGAACCAGGTATTTTTAGACCAGACAACAACATTATGTAAACACAAAGCAGGTGTTTCTGATTTAACTCCTCTAAGTATAGCCATAGTATTCACCCCATTTGTTTGGAAAGAAAGAAACTAGAACAAACTGGTTAAGTGTTGCTTTTTGAGGGTTCATCTATAAATTATAAATTACCTGTCTATCAACATATAAACCATTCTTCTTAATTGTTTTTCCTTGAACTCTTTGTCATCTATGATGGCTCAAGGAACTGCAAAGAAGAGACACTTTCTTAGAATTCAGTCACAAACAAATTCAGTAGTGATTGTACAAATGCAAAATGTTTTTTTGGGAATGGTACAGATGACACCCAGAGAACCATAGTTACACGTAAGCAACTTATTCGTTTTCTTTACACTAATGATGAACTTTCCTAAATGACTTTGTCAGATCCACTTATATGAAAGGGCCATGTCATAGACATACAAAAGAATGTATTTGGACCTTTAAAAAAATAGAAGTATAAAGTGATAAAAATTGTTTTTAGATCTATAACTAGTTTACTCAGTATATTCAAACACATATAAGGTTTTAAGCAGAAAATGTAGTTTTTTACTGTGTTTGCTTTTGCTAGTATATTCCATATTTTATCTCTGCTTATGGAATAAAAAATGCAGTTAAGTCAATAAATGTTGCACCCATCTATCCATGAGTTTTTGGTTCTCAGATAATGCAGAATAAAGTATTATCTGTTGTTCAGCATCCTTCCTAAAATCAGTCTCCTTTTTCTCCAGTATGTTATTTCCATCTGTCAGATATTCCAATTTGTGAAAGATAAATCTAGCATGAATTTTAGCTGTAGTATTAAATCAATCTAATAGATCTGTACTTTGAAATTATGTTGGCTGCTGTTTTCAAATATAAGAACTGTGATACCCTGTTTCCTCCAAAATAAGACATCACCTGATAATAAGCCCAATCGGGCTTTTAAGTGCATGCGCTAAAATAAGCCTACCCCCAAAAATAAGCCCTCCCCGAAAATATTTAAACACAGAGCTGGAAATCAGGTAAGACGGCAAGGGGAGCCCCATCTTGCTCCAAGTGCCCCAAAATAATAAGACCTCCCCAAAAATAAGGCCAAGTGCTTATTTCGTGGTTAAGAAAAATATAAGACAGGGTCTTATTTTCGGGGAAACACGGTAGTAAGTTTTTAATTTTTTTGTATAAAGTCTGCGTTGTGTATGTGAGTAAGCAAGTCTGCCAAGGGTGAGGTTTAACAGTCTGCATGACTCTTTAAAAAATCCAGGGGTAAACAGCAATAGACTAAAGAAATTTAGCTGGCTGAGATCCTGTCTAAAACTGCAGTTCCAAATTTACCAAAATTTGATAAAGAATTTCTTGCTGTAATTCAGTTCTGTTCTTCTTGTGTAACCTAACATCCAAACATAAGTGCCTTTATGGGTGCACTATAAACTGAGCTCAGCTTCTCTTGAAAACAAATGTGTGGCTAAATTTTGAAGGAACAGTACTTTATATGTTTCCAATATCATCAATCACTTACAGGAAAGAGTATTATTACATGGTACATAATTGTGCATAAAACTCTGACAATGCTAGCCCAGCTTTCTATAATCAAAATAGCAAACCCATCAGTAGCTCTTTTGCTCACCAGGTGGGCTTAACCCATGATATGAAACTTGGCAATTTTGTATCAGTTACAGTGTAAATAAACCCAATTTCTTATGAATATACAATGGCAGGAGCTATGAAATAAGTAATTATTAAGAGCCCTGCTACCCTTTGTACTACATTCCATCATAAAATGCCAATTTGTTTTCTTACATATTTTTGGAATACGAGAGTATCTCATTAACCATCTTTTGCATATTCATAGTAGAGACCAGACCTGACTATATGTGTAACGCTATCTGCAGTTTTGATTTTCTTTTTATTACTTTACACACAAGCAAAATGGCAGGTGTGTAAAACACATTTTTGAAGAGGTTAAGACAACATAACATATTTATTCATCCTCCATTTTTAAGCTATTTCTAATACTCTCTGTGTTTGCTGCAATTGTTGGGGGGAAGAAAGTTGGATGGCCTTCTGTACTCCTCTGTCTAGACTGTGAATGCAGGTAAAATATTAGTAAATTTCATATATATATATATGTACCTTTTGCTGATTCCCTAGAGATTCAGCAGAAAAGTGAGCTAGTGACTGGGTTTACATACCATACTAAGTCATAGTGTGGTTTGTTTGGTTTTGGGTTAGCATATTGTATAAACACAGTAATTTGTATGCCATGATTTAAGACTTAGCATACTATGTGAGTCCAACCAAAGGCTTACTCGGCAAAGCAAAGTTAAACCAACCTGGCTCAGGGCAATAAGTTAATGTAGTCATTCTATTATCTATATAACAGTTGTCATTCCTTCCGTGGTACATTTTGTGCACATAATAAGGCAAAGAACACCTTATATGTTGATGGGTCACAGACAAGTCCCATGCCTTTCCCCTCCCCTCAAAAATACAGCCCAGAAGGCATTAATATTTATAGCCTTGGAGTTGAGGTAGAGTAATTGAGTAAAGAGACCAAAGAAGAGATGTGTAAAAACTGCAAAATAGATTGCCTAGTTCAAACTGATAAATAAGGTTCTCAGGGACAAAAATAAAATGTGGCTGTGAAAATCAGT